TCGCCGTCGCCGTTATTGTTGCTGCTTCGGTTCGTTTGGTTTTCTATTTCTGTTTCTAATTTCTTTGCGATATAATTCATTCATACAGAGAGCCGGGGTTTAATTGACGAAAATGGAAGCAGCAACTTTGATTGTCATGGCATTTATAATCGACTCGTTATGGCTGCATTTCACTATAATTAGCAATCATGAATGGGGAGGCATGCCAACAAATTATTATATTTCTTTACCTTCGCTTAATTGAATCGTTCGTTTGGTTTTCGTCTTCACCCATGTTTCAACATCCAACCAGCTTACAAACTAAAGAAAAAAAGAAACTCATTGATGGTGCATCGAATGGTCGGTTGCTTGCATTTGATCCACGGAATGGGAATCAAATGCGCACTGAAACCGTACGCTTTTCGAAGATTTACCGCTCGATACCAGCCGAAAAACAACGAAATTTACGAACGCAGCTGGTCTATAAATGCACTTAAAAAAATTGTGTTATCGGAATCGTCATCAAATCCGACTAAATTGGGAAACTTGGTCTTCGCATCGCAACGGCGTGGTGCGCGTGTGTGTATTCGGCAAAACTAGGTTTTCTCAAATCTAAATGTGCATCTGCGCAACTGACTAAGCTCACGGCTGATTCATATTACTTTCCCTTATTAACACGAAAAATAAATTAGGGTCATTATTCAATAAATTTATTTGAATAAATTTCTAGATGCTGTGTGTTTGCTGGTGTGCTTGCCATGAGATGTATCGCACAACGGTTGAGTCAAGCCAGTGTTGCTCGCCCGTTCATCGGTATTTATCGATGTAAATAACAGAGGTTGGTTGCAGAATGCAGATAAATTTATTTATATAAATTTCGAATATCAAATAAATTTATCCGATATTTTTCATGCGTTGTGTTGTTCTGACGCATTCGTAGTACATAAACGAAACATCGGCTGTTGTATTGGCAGCCAGCTATTCATCGCAGGAATGAGATTTTTGTTTTGTTCATTTACCGATATTTGTGAACAAGTCTGCCACTGTGTCACTACATAGCATATATAGTCCATAAAAAAATGTGCAGAGACGAAAATGTTCGCCATTTAGTTTTACATTGCCAATACATTTGTTATGGAGATTTTTGTTTTGTTTATTTTTTGTTGTTTGTAAACCAATCCACATATCTTTTTGCATTGTCTCCACACACTTGTGTTATACTATGTACAGCGGCAATGCAAAAAGATAGGCAGATTTGTTTACAAACAACAAAAAATGAACAAAACAAAAATCTCCATAACTAATGTATTGGCAATGTAAAACTAAATGGCGAACATTTACGTCTCTGCACATTTTTATGGACTATATATACCATGTAGTGACACAGTGGCAGAATTGTTGACAAATAAAGGTAAATGAACAAAAGGAAAATCTCATTCCAGCAATAAATAGCTGGCAAATGCGTTAGAACAACACGACGCATGAAAAATATCGGATAAATTTATTTGATATTTGAAATTTATATAAATAAATTTATGTGCAACCAACCTCTGGTAAATAACTCTAAATCCAAAGAAATTGTATAGGCCCATCATTCTTTTCGCTTCGAAAACTCCAAAAATGTGGAAAACGAATAAAAAATAATGTTGTTCGTTTTTAAGGTTGGCCGCCGCTACAAATGCCCCAGAATCAGTCTTTCGTTTCTTAGCTTTTGTTTCCCATTTACCTTATCATGTACTTTTGTCATGTTCCACATACCATTCGATTTGAGAAATATTATATTAAAAACGCGTATGGAAATTTTCTATGCAGAACCGAAAAAGAAAACGGTCAAAAAGCCAACCATAATAACGCATCGAAATCTATACATTAAAACACCTACAATGCTGACGGACATCGGCGCGTGTTGGCATATATTTTCAATTTTTTTCTCTTGTTCATATATTGATTTCTTAAGCGATGACCATTTTCTGTTTCTCTGCAAGCTTTAAATTGACGAGAAAAACGAACGATTTGGTGTTCTGTTAACCAAAAATTCCATTATGCATTTTGGAAATGGGTTTTGATGTTCTTTCGTTTTCTGTCTTGGCCGGTGCTGTTATTTGGGCTAATTTTAATCTTTCTATTCCCACGACACAGTATTCACTGGACTCTCTATTGTTCTACCCAAGTCTCGATTCTTTTTTTTCTTTTCTTTTCATCGGCATTCGAATTGATTACGTTGTTCGTACGCAATGCAATCCCACGTAATTGCTCATACGAAACTGCCACAAAGCATTTTATTCATCTTACAAATGAGAGGAACCGAAAAGGTAAAAAGCCTCACTTTACAAAAAGAATTTAGCCTAGCTTTGATTCTCTTTAAATCATTATGACTCGTCACTTTTTTTACACTTCATTCTAATTTGAAAATAAGCATCTTTATTCTCTCGCCACTTAAATTATGTAAGTGTAGAGATTTATAGAAGATTTCAGTATTCTTTCCGTCTTTTTTTCATAAAAAACAATCAAATTTTCTCACTAAAATGCCATTTATTGTACACTTAATTAAAGCAACTTTTATGTCGTAATTTAAATGAAGATGACTTGAATAAATGCCACACACAGAGAGAGGGAGATTGGAAGAAAGAAAAAAAAGTGTGCCATTCGCATAAATATCCGTCATCAAAGATCAGAAAAACGGCTGTAGTTCAAATCAACTGAATTACACAAATTCTTGGATTTTGGTTTATTCAGCGCGTTGGAATGCAAACACTTTTGTGTCATATTATTTTGTCGTTGGTATTTTCTCTCTCACTCCCTTCATTTCGGTTGGTTCGGTTATTTGTTGTCGGTTGTTGTCAATGCGATTATGAATGTGGCTTGAATATTTGGCTGAAACTTTCTTTTTGCCAATTTCATTTTAATGTAAATTCTTCTGGCGCGATGCAATAACAAACACTCAACGGAAATCAAAAATTATAATCTGAAATATTTTTTTGATGTATATCGATAACGCGCGCCACAATTTTGCGAATCTTCTGTGGCTTGTGATTACATTTTTGCTACCGATACTGATATTGATATCAGATTCGGTCGCATTTTTGTGTCATGAAAAGTTCAAATCACCTGAATGACTCTTCTATTGGCTAACAAAGTGTCCAAAATGTGTGTCGTATGCAAATTTTGTCATCGATTTTTTGTTCTCCATCTCTCTCCCCATCATTTTTTCGTCTTTCAACCTAAGAATTTATGAATAATTCCATATTTGACAGGTTTGAATACATTTCACTCAAACTACCTATTGAGATAATGATTGAAAATTTTTTGGCCCAAAACAAATGTCTTATTCCACTTGGCAGAACGGAATCACTTTTAATGATCTCGATGATGAGAAAAATAATTTCGAATTTCACGAAAGATAACGCCAAAAATAACGAAAGAAAAAGCGATATAGGCCGCCAAATTCATCGAATATTGAGTTCAATGTAGGAGCAGAAATCGCAAAATTTTCGATAGAAACATTGATGCTCATTCGAGACTTTTCTTTTTTGTTCAGCCCATGAATTATTTTAATAATCGAAACCGTTATACACCTTTGTCGACAGAAAAATAAGAAGAAATATACTGTTAATGAATGAAATGTGATAAATTAATTCAAAATAAAAAGCGAAAACGGTTTCGGATTTAAATGTTTCGGTTTGGATTTTTTTTAAATTTTATTTATGCGAACGATGATGGTTCAATAATGGTAAAAATTTCACATGTGCTTGTCAGTCGGATCTGCTTAATGATGTAAGAGCATTAGATTGTGTGACCAAGGAATTGTCGTTATTATCGAGATTGCCACCGCGTTATCGGTACTTATTTGGTCACACATGTGATGAAAGTGTCTAATTTTTGGTCATCCATTGTTTTCACCTCATTTGATCAAGCGGAAATGTGAAAATGATCAGCGCTGTCGATCAATCTGGTGAATTCATTAGTATGTATGCAAATGGCTATAGACAGTAAAAGTTTTTTTTTTCTCTCTCTCTTTCTCTTTCTCTCTCGAATTATATTTTTTCGCATTTTGAGCTAAAATGGTTTTATGCAGGCATCTGATCTCGATGTGCACACAGGAAAACGTGCACGAAATGGAATGGCAATCAATAAGCGATGAAGTGCCAATTAAATTCATTTTCATATCATGATCTCTTTCTGATCTCATCGCACATCATTCGATCTCTCTTTGGTTCAGTGTGTCAGTAGTTGTATGCGATACAGTTTCGGTAAAGAGTCAATAGTGTTGAGAATTTCAGATGGTTCACGGCTCGTGGCGGATCCCTAAACTGTGTCGTGTACGCATTCTATGTGGTACATAGCCGAGGAGAGAGAGATAAGCGGCATTGCTTATGTGGTCATCGATGTAACTATGTTTTAGTGTGTGCGTACTTTGAATATTTTACCTTTTTTTTTATTCCATCACTCACAATATTTCCCCAGGCATCGTGCACTCTGCGCATGATGTGAACTTGCGATCGCAAGCAAGAGACGTTGAAACTGACGTTGCGCGTTGTATACTCGTTGTAATTGTCGGCAACAATTCTTTACGCTCGTTTGTATCTTCATTTCCATTGAGGTAACGTGTGTTCCGTACATGATGATCGTTGCCGTCGTCGTCATCATCATCATCGACGTCATTTGTATTACGGCGTTTTCGTTGCGCGGTCGATATAATTCATTGCGGTATGTCTTATTCTCGTACGCGCCATTCATTCGTCTCGTCTTCTCCTGAGCCTAAGAATATATGTAAACAATGTTACTTGCATTCTGTGTGCCTGTACCGCATCGTCACTGAGAGATGATATAGAGTGAGAGAGAGAGAGCGCAATCGAGTGGAGAGGGATTTTTATTAACACCACATATTGTTGTTATTATTATCGTGTCGTTCTGTATGCTGTGTGCTATGTGTATTTTTTTCAGCGTATGTGTACATGTAACCACCATAACGTTTCATTGAGTACGTATATCTAATGTAGGACTTTGGACAATTCAATACGTACGGTACCAATTGCCATCCGCGTCTTTAAAAACCACGAGCCGTAGCTGAAAAATTGTCAATGCACCATCTGTTCTTATCGAGTGAACACACGGGTTTACAAGTGAATAATAATCAAGTTCTTCCTTCACGGCATTGGAATTATTTTTAGAAAAAATTTCGAAGAAAAAGAGAAAACCAAGACTTCGTCACTGTTCGACAAATTGTTTTGTTTAGTAAAACTAACATAAAAAAGAAACAAATTAAATCACACAATGAAGGTGTTTATCGTATCGTGTATTTTATTGAGTGTTGCTTTCGCTCAAGCCGTGCCAAGCAGCCAACCATCCACATTTTTACAAGAATGTTTCGAAAAAGATTCGATCTCTTGTGTACAAACCACGGTACGAGATTCACACATTTTAAAACCATTTTATTTGCCTTCCACCAAAAAAACAAACCAGCAAATTGATTCACAATCAAAGTGTACAAGTGATCTTTTTTATTGGAAATCGTCGATCAAGCATTTAACATGGATTACCAGTGCGCGCCAAAAACAATTTCGATGTTTGTGCCGAAAATAGTTGAGTTTTGAAATAACTCACAACATTTGTGAAAAAATCAAAGAAAAATTGATTAAAATTCGAAAAAAGAAACTTATCGACAATTCTACAAATAAAGAACTTAAGGGGATTACGGTCACCACATTACGATTGCGTATCTCTGAGTGGTATTTAAATTTCACACCATGCCAAACGAATTATGCACACACCAGTGAATTGAAATCAAACTGATTGCTTATTTAAATTTAAATGTGCCTCATCGAATAAAAAAGACACCCATAATCAATTGATGTGTCTCTCTCTCTCTCTCTCTGCCGTTTGGTCGAAAATGGAAAAGAATTTGTGTGTCGGGCATTTAATCCGATTTCACTTTTCATTCGCCGTAACGCATCATAGCTCAAATTGTACCAGATCCATTGGATCCAGAACTAATGTTTTGCTTGAATTCCAATAAAAAAAAACCACAAATCAAGACAAACACATTATTACCATTCATCATAATTGATATTTACATATATGTCCAAAAAACATTTTCTCTGGTACACTTTTCCGAAGTCAACAAACAAATTAAAATTTATTCCATTGTTACCAAATATAGATTTATCGTCGTGCTCGTGAATTCTTTGATCAGCCAAGCATCAAATTTGTCGGTGGCATTTCATTTGCCAAATCGAATGAGCGTGCCGGCAAAAGCCTAGAACCAGAGCCACAAGTGGAAGAAGCCGGCAATGTTCAAGCTCGTGAGCTCGCTTTGGAAGACTACTTGTTGGGCCGTGTGAAAAATTTCTTCAATGAACGTAAGTCACAACGGTGTTTCCGTTGTGTTTGAGTATATTTTCTGATTCTTTTTTTTGGACAGCTTTAATTTCGCGACGCCGTAGCAAAATGGTAACATATATTTTGATTGTTGCATTGAATTAGGTTCAGTCAGCTGGGACTTTGCTAGCGCTGGCCGTAGCCTTGCCAACGCAATTCCAGATGAAGTTAAGGAATCGGTTCGTGCTTTGGTTGTTGAAGGTCGTACCAAGAAGAAGATCATCAAGAAATTGTTGCCATTGTTGGGTTTGTTGAAATTGAAGTTGGCTGCCCTTGCTGTTTTGGCCATCGCCGGTATTGCCATCATCGCTAAGAAGGCTTTGATCACATCATTGATTGCTATTGCCATTGCTGGTGCTGGTGCTTTGTCGGGTGCTGTTTCAAAATTGTTGGGCCGTCGCGGCGGTGCCGGTGGTCTTGGTGGATGGACCAGTGGTAGCAATGTTGAAGAAATCATCGCATACACGTAAGAATCCGAACCAACCATACAAATTATTACTTAATCTAAGGAAATTAATTCATTTGTATGAAATATGCATGTAATTAATTCAATGGGTGTGATACTTTCTCTTGCTCCGAACAAAACAGCAACGGTGGTGGCGCAGCAGCTAACTCAGGATGGTCATCGGGCGGTAGCGGATGGAATAGCTATGATTCATATGGAGAACACGGTGCTCACAGCCAACCAATTGCACAACAGATCGCATACTCTGCACATAAAGCGGCTCGCCGATAATTCCTTTCGCGATTAAAACAAACATGACGTGCACGCGCGCACACACGCGTGTTCGCTTGATCCCACTAATCGACAACAACAAAATACAAAAAACAACAACAAAAACAGAAAATTAAAACAAAACAAAAATTGCATACCAATACCATCTCTCTCGGTTTGCTCGATTCTTTTGCAGCAAATCAACAGAGACACGATTAATTCATAAATATTTAAACAGACAGATTTTTTGTTGAGTTATTAGAAATACGTTTAAATTATTTAATTTATTTGCTATTTATTTATTATATGCCTTACAAAGTAAATCGTCAAACGAAAGAATGAATGATTGATTTTAGAAAAAAAAAAAGGGAAAATCGCATGTATTAAACACACACGACACAGAAAACCGCACACAAGAGATTCTTTATTCTTTCTTTTTATTTTCTGTTAATTTTGCAATTGCACCACACTCAGAATAAGATAAATATTAATGATAATACGTTTCTCTCATAAGCAGTTGAAATACTCGACACAACTTGCACTCATTGGCAACACAGATACACACTCACACTCACAAACCCCTTGAATAACCAAATACACACAAACACACAAAACCATAATAGAAGCACGTAACGCACAATGACACTGACACTGACACTGAATCGTTCTCTTTCAAAAAACCATCACTTTGTGCTGCAGCTTCAGTAAATGACGCGTTAGCACAAAAACAATTCATCCACATAGCGCCGTATAGAATATATAACACTTTATTCACTTTATCTAGAACAGACAAAGTTTTTCTTTCTACTTTTTGCAGAAAACATAGACAAAAGGAAATAACACAAATAATTGAACACCTCTTTATATCTAGTCCATAGTAAAAAATTGCGAACATTTTTTTCTCTCTCTCTCTTTTCGATGAAAAATAAAAAAAAACAAATTGTTTGATGTATTTCGTTTGAAATTTTCTTTTGTATGATTTGAATGAGAAATAAAAGAAAACACCTTTTTTGTATCTGAAATGAAACCGAAAATGATGTTTGATTTATTGGATCGTATTAAGACAGCAAATGCATCAAACTGTATAGATTCGAAAATGGTGAGAAAAAAAAACAAAACAAACGCCAAATGAAGACATATTCTTCATCAGTTCTCTCTTTCTCTCTCTCTCTCTCTCTCTCTCTCTCTCTCTCTCTATTTTTTTCTGCAATAGATGGTTTGGATCAAAATGGAACCGATGCATTAGTTGTTGCTGCGGTTTTTTTCTCGCAGAAAATTTCGTTCGAAATGTTTAGCAGCAATAATGAGATTATTTCGCCATTATCCGAAATGAGGTTGAAGTTTTGGAGTCGAATGAGATTACCGGTGCAATTATTGCTACAATTCAATCAAGTCTCAAAATAACCCCGAAAAACAGATTATTCATCCATTCGCCAACCACTCTTTTTCGATGTAATAAAATACGCTACTACGTGCACTGCGTCAACTAGCGAAAAAAATTACGTCAGTGAAGAGCAAGAAAAATCGAAAAAGAAGAAGACGATTCGAAGAATAATAGCCGTTAACAGGCAGAATCGTGTCGCTGCCATAGCATTTTCACGTTTTCCATCCAATTATGGTCTGCTGCTGCTGTTGTTGCTGTTCAAGCCATTATTCGACAACAAGTAGAGAAAACTACTAACTACAGTTACTCCAGAGCAAGTAAGAAAGAAGAAGTAGTAGAAAAAAATATCGTTTGAAAATGGGCTTTATCTTTTATCGATATGTGTATTGAATCGAAGAAGAAAGAAAAAAAAATTTTAAATTATAATGCGCTGAACGTTCAATTCATTGATGAAATCACTCCACTGAATGAGTAAAATCAGCAAAAACAGTTATGTGAAACGAAAGTAATATGGATCGCGACGCATTTCACCCGGATTACAGCGAAAAAAAAATTGTTAAAGAGAGAGAGAGAAAGAGAGAGAGAGAGAGAAAAAAGGCAGCGAAGAAGATACGTTTCTCTCCCAAGTTACACAAACACACTCACAATATAATAACTGTATGCATAACTCTCAATCGAAAACCAGAACAATTAATATTTGACTTTTACAAATATACAAATTTCGTCGTCTTTCACAAAACATTTGAATGCAAATAACCGAATTTTATGCGAACCGAACAGCACCAGCACCGCCAGCAGCAGCAACAACCATCGCCCAAAGAGATAACGAGATTTATTTGAGAAATTAAAGCTAAAGACGAAATCGAACGAACAAACAAACAAAAAAATAACACATCTCCTAATTCGTAAAGTACATTCACACACGCAGAAGCTATTTCCGATTGGCGTGTGTATCTTTGTTGATGTTCGTTCCTTCTTCATTTCTTTCTTTCTTTTTCCGCGTCGCGCATGTTTTCACTTTTCATTTTTGTTGTTGTCATGAAGCAACAAAAAAAGTGCGTGGTCAAAATTCCTTCGAGTAAAAGTAGCGTCGAATCTGATAAGGCAATGGGAACCGTTTGGTGATTTGCGTGAAATTTTGGACAATTCTATTATTATTGTTGTTGTTTTTGGTTGGCTTAGCATGGTATAGCCTTCACGTGCGCGTACACACACGAAACGCCATGCAAAAGCGATGGCTGAGAAAAGAATATGCAATAGCGCACGCTTCATTAGAACTGTTTTGTGTTGTTGTTGTTGTTGTTGTTGTCCATCGAATACTGTTACTTTTGCTTCGTTTTGGCTACATTGTCAAAAGCTTCTCTTCATGGGTTTTTTCTCTCTCTTGCATCTCATATACAATGTATTCTTTATGGTGGCCAAGTGGACCGACTATGATAATCAATGCGTGCTCGCGCACACGCTCGCCTCACCAGTAGCTAGACAATGAGATGAATTCAAAACTGACCAAATTATGTGTGAGTGTGTGTCTCTTTCTCTAAATCGAAACCTACTTTTTAATTCTCTTTCTCACCGTGCGCGCGCGCAATAATTTTTTATTCATTTCTATTTTGACCGTTTTCATTTTTATTGAAATTCCCGCGAGAAACCGTCTAAAATCACCATTAGGAATATACATTTTTTTTCTGGTGTGCAAACAACTGTGAATGGCCCGGAAAAAAAGAAGAGTAAGCATTAAAGAGGAACAAAAATGTGAACGTTTGTATAATTTTGCATTTTTGATTCGATTAGATCGGTGTTTGGTGTGTGTCGCTAAAGAGTGGGGCCGATTGAGAGATTTTTTCGGCTATTTTCCATGATTTTGTACGATTTACCGTTCCGCTAGGATTTTTGTTTAAATACTGTGCTCACCTTCGGTAAAGTCGTCAATGAACCATCCGTTCTACTACAGTAAACATTAAAGCTTCAGTGAAGTTTTTTGTTGTTTTTTTTAGTAAATTCGGTGATTTCTTCATAGAAAACGAGAAAATTATTTCAACGTTTTTTTTTGGAAAAAAAAGAAAAAATGAAGGTGTTTATTGTTGCTTGTGCTTTACTCAGTGTAGCTGTCGCTCAAACAGTGGAACAACCCATCTTGCAAGAATGCTTCGAAAAAGATTCGATCTCTTGTGTTCAACAAACGGTACGGATTATAAGCAATTTCATCATTTTCCAGTCGATTCGAACATTGAAAGTGTTTCATTCAAGTGTCTGAAAAAGCGAGCCAAAAAACGAAACAGTGAAAAACCACAACGCATTGCCAACATTGGATTAACAAGTGCAAGTGATTTTACCACCATCCATCTAGCTCTCCATTGGGATTATATATCAAACAAAAAATAAATCGAATAAAATTAGTGTGAAATTTGCAAAAAATAAAAAAACGAAAGCATTTCAAATGAGATACCGAAAATGTTCGATGAATCGAAAAAAAATTCCATAAAAAAAACATTTCATTTCGACAAATTAACCGTTAACTAATTCAATTCGAATTCAATCTCAGGTCTTCCGTCGTGCTCGTGAATTCTTCGATCAACCATCGATCCACGTATTCAGCGGTGTTGAATTCGCCCGTTCAAATGCCCGTGCCGCCAAGAGCCTCGAACCACAAGTCGAACAAGCCGCCACCGTTCAAGAGCGTGAATACGCTTTGGAAGACTACTTGTTGAACCGTGCCAAGAACTTCTTCTCTGAACGCCAAATCACCTGGGATGTTGCCACCACCGGTCGTGCCATCTCAAACGCTATCCCAGACGAAGTTAAAGAATCAGTTCGTGCTATGGTTGAAGAAGCTCGTCTCGGAAAGAAAGTCAAGCTTATCAAGAAATTGTTGCCATTCTTGGGATTGCTTAAATTGAAATTGGCTGGTTTGGCTGTTTTGGCTGTTGCTGCTATTGGTCTCCTCGCTAAGAAGGCTTTGATCACCTCATTCATTGCCATCGCTATTGCTGGTGCCTCATTCTTGGGTTCAGTTGTCGCTAAATTGTTCAGCCTTGGATCTGGTTTGGCTAAAGGCGTCGGTGGCATCGGTGGCATCGGTGGCATCGGTGGCGGCGGTGGCGGCGGTGGCTCAGGATTGGGCGGTTTGGGCGGTTTGGGTAGCCTTTTGGGAGGTGGTGGTGGTGGAAACGGTGGATACAGCAACGCCAACGTTGAAGAAATCATCGCATACAACACGTAAGCATCACAATCCCAAATTTAAATCCATTCATCTCCAGTTGCCTTTGCAATTTGATTAACAAAATGTGTGTCTCATTCATGTCTCATTCGCAGTGCTGGCTCATCATATGGCGGTGGCAACGGATGGAGCAACCAAGGATGGAGCAGCAACAACGGATGGGACGAACACGGCTCACACAGCCAACCAATCCCACAATTGGCCTACAGCGGCCAACGCCCAAAAAGCCGTCGTTAATCCATTTAACATCGTCCTTTAGTAGCTGTTAGAAAACCTATTTGTAGCAACTACAAACCAACACAACCATTTCTTTTTCGCTGGGAAAAATGTCATTAAATTATTTAATTTATTCAAAAAATATTTATTTAACTTCTAAAAGAACGAAAGAGAAAATTAAAACAAAGTCAATTTCAAATAATAATGAGATGTTTTGTAGAAAATTATGAAATAAAACGAATCCGAAATAAAATCAAATTCACATGCATTTCTTTTCGACACTAGAAAAAAAGATAACGCACAGCTGACATCGATGCATATAGATTAACTTAATACGATGTATACGGATTGGAATACAGTCTACTTTTTAGATCAAAGAACGATGAAAAAATCTCGAAATGTTTGAATATTTCGAACTGCTAACATGAATCTCACACATATCCAATACAACTTGCCTCTTCTCATCTTGTGTGTGGTCTACACACAACAAATGACGTAAATTAAAACCAAACAAAACACCAAAAATGGGTGAAATTCTGCGCTGTTCATCAATTCAGTCTTGAAATCCGTTGTTCGATCATTCATCTGATTATCTGTTCGCACCCATCTCAAGTATCGCTTATAACAAAGAAGTTTTTTGATAAACTGAATATTAACAAGTGAAAGAGTCTCTGGCTGCTTTCAAAACAAAACACAACGACCAAAATAACAAGATTGTGAAGAAGAATAAGAGATGCATGTGAAAAATACAAGCCACAGAGAATCTATTTAAAGCCGATATTGGCACAGAAACGATGATATTTTTAAGAGGCATGTACAGAGAGAAAAAACGAAATAAAACAAGCGGCGTTATAAATTAATCGCTACGATTTTAAGCTTGCTAGCTTTAATCTTGAGTGGCAAAAAGAAGAAGAGAAGAAAAAAATCCCACAAAAAATTTCTCTTTCTGAAATGTCGTAAATGTGTAATAGTGATCGAACGCATAAGCAACAACAGAAAACGGTAAGCAGTTACATTGAATGCGCAGTGCTAACTAAACGATCCGATTACGCGTGCTCGCCAAGTGTACTCACACACGTATACAGATGCAAATGTGCAGAGAGGTGTAATGTGCTCGAAACAACCTCATTCACTGTGGAGCATTGCACTGCATTATGAGCAATACGTATTTAGAATTTAGTAAACAATCATATCGATGTGGCACCTACATCATCTCGTTTGCTCGAGTTTTTTTTTCGACACGAAAGCGGCATCGTTTCAGTTTGTTGTTGCGTTATGTGGATTCTGTTTCAAAAAGTTATATGGGACAGCATATGCAGATCAACGACAGAAATTCAAATGGCATCACACACTCAGCTTCGTTGGCTCTCACTCATGTTCTCAATATACAGTAACAAGTTTTTCTATCCATACTAAAGTGGCGAAAGAGAGAGTTTCTAGATCCTCTACCTTTACACAGACATACACACACACATCGCACATCGCGCTCTCAGTAAAAGCTGCAACATTAATATTCATAAAATGATCGACGGCAATTATTATATATCGAAGTAAAGTAATGTAAATGCGAATTGTTCGGGCAAAAAGCACCCATTTCACATCTACGGCTTTTTTCCCGACGTCAAAGACTCTTTAGTTATAACGCTTTTTTCACTCTTTCTCTCTCTCTCTCTCTCTCTCTCGCGTGCGCTTTTTCTTTCTTTGCTAGTTTATTATTAAGAGACACATTAAATTAATGTAGCATCGTTACATCCGTACCACATCAGACGATGTCATGAAGACGACGAAAATCTTTCAAACTAATGATTTATTGGTCAAGAATGTTTATTAGTAAATCTTCACAACAACAAAAAAATCGTAAATCAACAGGAGACTTTTCTCGAGACTGAACGGAGTTTTGAAAAAACACAACACATTCATTTGACATACCAAATAACTGTCATTTAATTGATTAGTTGGACCGAGGGCCGCCGAAACTTGTAATCAATTTTGTATATGCCATGCAAAGCAAATAACTGAGAGCAAACGTAATTTGGGTGGAGTCATTGGTCGTAGAGCAACAGCGTATCCGCTCAATAAATTGCGTATTAAACACAATATTTATCGATGTCCGTTTTTCTGCGAATGTGAAAGTTTTGCAATGAGCAAGCGCAAGCATGGGCACACATGTATTGTCTGGAGCATGAGCAAGTCAATTGCACGCAACAAAGTTTTGTCGAACAAACCAAATGACACATCGTCGATTGCGCTAAACCATTTTTATACAGCGCGACAATCGATCGATTTGAGCCACAATCACGGATGCAGTATTAATTTCTCATCAACATTTAGTCACCGACAGAGAGATTGAGATGCGCGATGGCACTCTCTCGCTTCAGAAAAACCAAACCAATAATTTTCACATTCTTCATCAGTTTTTATGGATAATTCTTTTTATCATATTTTCACGTCATTTCAAGCAATTTAATTTTCTATCACACAAGACACTTCATTGCTGCTGCTGCTGCTGGTTTTTTCTCTATTTCCTTTTGAATTTTGTATTGTGTTCTTTTGGATCGAAAATTCCGGCTGATTCAAACCGCAAGCACTCATACAATCGCTTAAAGATTGTAATGTAAGAAAAATTACCCATAATTTAGATCATAAACTGCTGCTAAACAATAATCGAAAGACGATGATCATCGGAATTGAACACTGATCATCCGAATCACGTCAATCGATGAGAAAGAAATGATAAAAGACGATGAAGAAGTGAGGTGATATAAAAAAAAGCTAGAAAAAAAGCGTTTGGCGACTGATCGAACCCAAAGCATCGATTAACAAATTTGGGAAGTGAATGGATTAAAATATGCTACACCTATTTTCTACTATCTTTCTTTTTTTCTCTCCGAAGATTCGTATCACAACAACCGCATGTTTTAAGAGAAATTTCGGCCAATAGTTCACATTATTCATATATAAAAAAAAAATCACACACAGACTCATCAAATTCCGACGAATTCGGAGTGAAATATTTATGCAAAATTGTTTCTTTTTTTGGAGAGTAAATATACGGAATCATATGTTACTACTATACGCTAACACCGAAATGAATATGCCGAACTGATTAGATAAACTGTTGGGCGTTGATTTTTACTATAAATATCGCGCACAATTTTGGAAATGTTGTCAATGAACCATCTTCTCTAGCAGAGTGAACATTACAGAGCTTCAGAGAAGTTCTTAGCGAAATCTCGACGATTTTTTTACACAATTTTTTTTAAAAACTAGTGATTCTTTTTTTCTTCTCGAAAAAAAAAAACAAAACAAAAAAACTTATCAAAAATGAAGGTGTTCGTAGTTGCATGTGCTTTAATCAGTGTTGCCTTGGCTCACACAGTGCCAGCCGGAGAGCAAAGCGTCTTGAAAGAATGCTTCGACCAAGATTCAATTGCTTGTGTTCAACAAACGGTACGGATTATACAAATAGCAATTTAAAAATCAATATTTCAACTCACTTGAGCATTCAAAGTGTTTCATTCGAGTGACTGAAAGAGAAAAACGAAAAGAAAGTGATAATTGACTACCAATACTATCCAGCCCATTGTCAATATATTGGATTAACAAGTGCAAGTGATTTATTTTTCGAGCTCCAAATGCAAATTGGATTAAATATTGAATAATATTTGGCATATCGTATGCCTCATACAAATAGTGTGAAGAAGAAAAACCAAACGCAAATTCAAATGAAATACCGAAAATGTTCAATGAATTTGATAAATTTCATTGGAAACCAAAAAAAAAAATTGTAATTTATTGTTAACTAATTCAATTCGAATTCAATCTCAGGTCTACCGTCGTGCTCGTGAATTCTTCGATCAACCATCCATTGGATTGTTCAGTGGTGTTGAATTCGTCCGTTCAAATGCCCGTGCCGCCAAGAGCCTCGAACCACAAGTCGAACAAGCCGCCACCATTCAAGAGCGTGAACACGCTTTGGAAGACTACTTGGCCAACAGGGCCAAGAGCTTCTTCTCAGAACGTAAACTCACATGGGATGTTGCCACCACCGGTCGTGCCATTTCAAACGCTATCCCAGACGATATCAAAGAATCAGCCCGTGTGTTGATTGAAGAAGCCCGTACCGGAAAGAAAGTCAAGCTCCTCAAGAAATTGTTGCCATTCTTGGGATTGCTCAAATTGAAATTGGCTGGTTTGGCTGTTTTGACTGTTGCTGCCATCGGTGCTATTGCTAAGACTGCTTTGGTCACATCATTCCTTGCCATCGCCATTGCTGGTGCCTCATTCTTGGGATCATTGGTTGCTAAATTGTTCGGTGTTGGAGGTCTTGCCAAGGGAGGTTTAAGCAAGGGAATTGGCAGCGGTTTAGGTGGTTTGGGTGGTTTGGGTGGTTTGGGTGGTTTGGGTGGCAGTTCAGGCAGTTCAGGCAGTTCAGGCGGTTCAGGCGGTTCAGGTTTGGGTGGTTTGGCTAATCTTTTCAACCGTGGTGCTGGTTCCCAAGACACCAACGTTGAAGAAATCGTCGCATACACTAGCGGGTAAGTGTTGCTGTCATGCATACATCAATCGATTTTGTTTTGTTTCGAACATTTTTCCAATTGATATTGTCCTTTCGCTTACAGTAACGGTGGTAACGGTGGTGGATGGAACCAACAAGGATGGAGCAACCAAGGATGGGACGAACACGGTGCCCACAGCGAACCAGCCGCTCAAGTTCTTGCATACAATGGTCAACGCCCAAAGAACTAAGCAGTAACTATTAGTTAGAAACTAATTTATAGCAACTACAAAAAAACGAAACCATTTCTTATTCGTACATAGGAAAATGTCTAAATTTATTTAATTTATTATGAATATTTATTTAAATTGAAACACGAAAACAAATCACTAAAATATTCAAAAAATGTAAAGATATATAAAAAATTTGATGAAATAAAAAGAGGCAGCTAATTTCCAAAATATCTAACTAATCGTTTACTTCATTCACAACAAACAAGCAAGAGAAAAATTGGGTCAGCGATTGTCTTTGAGCGTTTATCGCAGAATGGAAAACATAATTATGTGGCTACTTTTGAATCGAAGACAATATGTTTGTCGGATGAAAAGCATGTCAATTTGTTGAATATTCAGATGAAGAAAAAGAATCCGCTATATTAAGGGTACAAAAAATAGCATTTCCATCTGAATGAAATATCTTCAGCTCTTTCTCTCTCTCTCTCTCTAACTCTCCCAGTCTCACACAGAAAGCATTCTTCGAGAAACTTGTTTGAATTTTGTCAGATTTCCAAACTTGTTTTTTTGAATAAAATTTATTAAAACGAAATCTTCCATATTAAAATGTAAAATTTGGTGTATCACATGCGGTTTGGAAGCTTCCAAAGCTAGCTTTGAGCTTGTTGTGAGAATGAAAACCTTTCCCTTTTTACAGGGCACTGGGTTGAATTATATTTTGAATATTAACGGCAACGTGTTCTATATTCTGAAAATGGGTAATCCAGTTATTATCCAGTTAAATGGCTTCATTTGGATATAATTCAAATTCCATCAATTCAATTGTGTCAAATGGGATCGGTTGAATGTTCAAAAAAACAAAAATCGATTGACATCCGTTCGTTCAAGTACCTGTTTATCTGTTCTCTTTTTTTGCCATAAATCACGTTGAATTTATAGGCTGCAATTGTCTATTTCGGAAAAAAAACGTTTTTTTCCCATTTGTGAGTTCAACCAGAATGTAGGAAAAAGCAGACAATGTATTTGGCTAATGTCAGCTAGCTAACTGAAAACATTCTGGCTGGGTCAGCGGCTGAATTCTATGCGTTGTGTTTTTTCATCGCAATCTGTAGTATACAGACCTTAAGAAATGTAAAATGTTCGACATTTATTTTTACATTGCCAATACATTAGTTATGGAGATTTTTGTTTTGTTTATTTTTTGTTGTTTGTAAACAAATCTGCCTATATTTTTGGATTGTCTCTACACACTTCTTATGGACATATACTATGTACAGTGACAATGCAAAAAGATGAGCAGATTTGTTTATAAACAACGAAAAATAAACAAAACAAAAATCCCCATAACTAATGTATTGGCAATGTAAAAATAAATGGCGAACATTTTACATTTCGTATGAGCTGTATAATATGTACCGTAGCAATGCGTTGATATAGGCAGACTTGTTGACAAATAACGGTACATGAACAAAACAAAAATCTCCATATATATGATTTCTGTACAGCAGATGCGATGAAAAAACGCAACGCATAGAACTCAGCCGCTGAGCCAGCAAGAATGTTTTCAGTCAGCTAGCTGACATTAGCCAAATACATTTTCTGGGAAAAAGAAATGATTTTGGAATTGATATTGAATACGACTGAAAAGACCGCATAACGATGCATATAAAATTACCTGAAATATGCGTCCGAACAATATGAGATAAGCGTCCGAACAATATAGCTAATATTGGTGCAATTTGAAGCAACGTTACAATAAATTCGATCCATAATTCCTCTATCTCTTTCAAAACCGTTTTTTTTTAGTGCAAAGGACCAGAATCTCGTCGCATATAAATTAGCTAGCATTTGACACAATCGCGGTTTGCAATATTATATATGCGATGCTTGAGACGCGCAGAGTGTGCGATCGAGTGTGGTTTTCCACATATCATCTCATTCAAGTCGATCGCCACATGTGTGTTTGGCTGATCAATTTAAGATCCAAATACACACATCTCATCTTTTTTATTGTAACGGCAATTTTTCCCATTCAAACTCGAGATCCAGTCCAGCCCATTCACGTGTATTTTTTCTCTCTACTCGCGCTGTCCGTAAATGAACATACAAAGTCAAGGCTTTTGAAAATCAGCGACCTGCTTTAGTTTTACATATTATTCTTTAGTTGTATGCTTTTTTGTTGTTCGTTCGTTGTTTGTAGCAAAGCCGTAGTAGAGTTGTGTGTAGAAAAGTGGCCACAATTTCATCGTGGTTGCGAATGCGTTTCTTCCGTTTTATAACTGGAAATGCGATGATCGGATCAATTCTTTTTTTATTTTACATCCATTTCATCCGTTCCTCGATCGATTTTCGTAGTTGTTGTTGATAAAATGTGAAATGATTGCAAAGGAACTTTGAGAAATCTGTTGTGACGAGAAAAAAATTCCAGACGACCGTACAGCATCATGATTATTTACACGTCTTTAGCACATGATTATTACTATTATTTTTACATTTTTTCTTTTCCTTTATGTTCCATTCGTCATTCTTTATCGTGGCGTCGAGCGTATGCCATAAAGTAAGGCAATAGTGTCCACAATTATGGAACAGAGCGCGCGCTGAAGAGAAGACAGAAAAAAAAGAATAAAAATGTTGAAACATTTAGCAGAAAATACGTATTTATTGTTATTAAATTGACTTTGAAGTGGCATCAAAAACTGATGATGATGATGATGTTTGTTGTTCACTTGATAAAGACCTAGGGGAATATCACGCGATTTTTATTCACAAAACTTATTTCTATCTCATTTATTACTTTCAAATCCAATAAAATCTATGTTATTTCAAATATTTCACAAAATCTGTATTATTCATTCGTATTCACTATAGGGAAAGTGCCACAATACATTTCAAATGTAAGTCATTTGATACATAGCATTCAATGTCATCTCAATTCCAACTCATTGAATCATTGTATTTTTCGGCAACATTTTCAAACGTGTATGGCTTTACTAGAATATAATCAACTTTACGGCGACGCTAACAGCTTCTCCGTGGGCCAGTACTACGCGTTAGACAAAACGTATTGATGTTTCGCAATGGTTACTCGATGCATTTGCCAAAATACTATGCTTTTTGTACCCTCTTCTACGATGTGTGTGCAGAGAAGCTGCTAGTGTCACCGTTAAGTTGATTATATTCAACTCAAGCCACACACGATTGAAAAAAGTTGCTCGAAATATTCGATGATTCAATAAGTTGGTTTAGAGATGTCATTGGCTGTCTTTTGGTATTCCGGCAATATATTTATGATATTCACCATGTGAGATACGGTGTAATATTTGTGATTATGCTGAATTTTGAAAATAAATGTGAATTTTTGCAGATTTGTGAAGATATGTTCAATAATAAAATTCAAGATGGCGTAGAGAGCACGCCAGAACTGTCAAATTTTCAAAACTAAATATCATAAACATATAGACAAAAATATCCCTATCAAATACAAAAATACACAAAGTTCAAATAAAAAACTTTAGATTCACTATGGAAAGTGTCACTAACAAAAAATATTGTTTCTGTATGATTTTCACTGTAGTGCTGTCAAAATGGTTGTCATTGTGGTGTGATTGGTCATCATGACAATACTATTCAGATCGCCACGGTATATCTGAAAAAATCTCAGATATCTCGCACAATCTAATATAATTGAAAATAATTTTGTAAAAAATCAATAAAAATTCAATAGAATTTTTTCGTGATATTCCCCTAGATGAAGACGAAGCTGCGAAGTGGCTGCAATGAAACACGATCGCGTAAGAGAGATAAAAAGCAAGCAAATCATACACAAAAATGTGTTTATATCGTGAAGATCGTTCAAGTGCATCAAGCACAACTCGAGTTGGAGCTAGTCGTGATTGCAGTGTGTGTTCGACGAATCAAGTTCGAAACGAGAGTCTGGTTTCAATTGAAATTGTTCCAACTCTGAGTGGTGCTACCGACATGAACAAACGGAGCACACCAGTGGAGAAGAATCAGAAGATAGAGAAAAAAACGGCCGAGAAGAAGAAAGTTTGAATATTGTAAAATGATTTAATGCGTCGATTTTTTTCTGTGTGCATTTGATTTCGCGCGCTTATCTTCGTTTGTTTCGAAGTAATGTTTTCATGTCGATACCTCGGCTGGTTGGTGTTGTTACTGCTGCTGCTTCTGCATTTGATATGCCATTTAAATTCCATGGAAAAGTGCCGGGCGATCGCAATAGAGAGCTATGCATGAGATGAGGTGCTGATAAAACGCATGAACACGCAATGCCGACATGCGATACACGGCATTTGATTAATAAACCAATCGATATTTAAATTAAACTATATAGAGAGAAAAACGTTCTTCTAATTAACAGTGCACTGGAAAAATGGGAAAATTGGAGGAACGAGCCTATGCTCTCTCTCTTTCTCGTGAACCAACCAACACAACACCCAATGAACGCTATTACTACCGCCGCAACAATTCGTTCGATTGATATCGTGGAATATATTTGTAGCGCGAACAATTGATGAATTCATCCGAAACATACGATTTGATTTCGGTATTCCCGCAACCAGCCAATAATATACACCTTCTTTATTCGAAATGATCGACTTCTTTCATTTCAAAATCCTATGGGTGAGATTGAGAGTAGTGTATGTTTTTTTTCGGATTTATATTTTTAAAAAGTCGAGTATGTTCTTCAGTGATTTCGTTTTTTTCTCTCTCACTCTCTCCGATGCTTTGCAGTTTCGCAATGTTTATTTGTTGTCGCATTTCTTCTGTGTTATCTTCCATGCGCTATGGTTTCAGTGATGTTGTCATTTTACTCTTATACATTTACTCGTATGTTGTTCGTTTATGCTAATGCCGTACATAAGCGGAGCTCGATTATGTGCTGATACTTATGAACTCCTGACACTCTTCGTCGAAAGAACTTAATATTTTTAACCATTTATGCAAACATACTCTACTTTTTCGAAAACCAATGTCGTACTGCGATATAAGCCTATATAAACAATGTTATTATATTTGACAGTATTTGAGTCGATGTCAATGACGATGTGGCAGCGCCACCTATAGAGATTCCTCATTAAAATAAGTGGAACTATTGAGTGCGTGCACCATATGGCGGCGCCCATCAGTGTTGTACAAAGATAAAATTTAGATAGATAAAATGAAAATAGATAAGATAAGATGATATCTTTTTCTTTATC